TGCAGAAAAATTGGTGATTTGAAGTCAATCCTATAGTTGCCCTTTAGGGAAAGGTCCTTGTAAGCAGTATCCAGCAGTGTCACAGTAGACACCTGCTACTTCTTGTACAATGGTCATCCTTTTTATTGGGACCTTAATAGTATTTTTCTGTGTTTGTCTCACAATTGTATGTCCTTGGATAGTTCCTATTTACATTGTAAATGGGCCACAATGGAAGAGCTGGAAAAGGATCCCCGCATCGCACAGAAGATCAAGCGATTTAGGAACAAACAGGCCCAGATGAAGCACATTTTTACTGAGGTGAAGCAATGTGTATTGACTCATTTCACTGCTGCTTTTCTTTCTGCACTAAACATTTAGGTGGAAGTTTCTATGTCCACAGTGAAGTCCTGTATAGCTCTTTTGGCCAAGTCTGTTATGATGCTAATAAAGAGAACAACATTCATTCTCTTAAAGTTTGAATGTAAATACAAAAGGCCAAAAATGTTAGAAAATAAGCTTGAGAATTTCAAAACAAGAGAAAAGGCTTGTGAGTTTCATTGTTAAATCTGGGGTGGCTTTAGATCAGACGATACAACTGACATCTCACGTAAATAGAAAATATGAGTATATAGCTTGTATATTCATTTTCCCTAATTAGGCACATGTGCACACTTGCATGGAAGAGGAATCGGCATATTTACACAGACACATAAGTTACGTGTCTACACAGACATATGCCAAACAGCTTTCATAGGAAAAGTACCAGATTTGAAATAAGTAGATAAATATGCAGGGAATTTAGGAACGGAAATGTTGGTCATTAGGCATTCCAGAACATGTAGCTTCACTAGAAACCAAAAGAAGTACAAATAATTTTAGAATCTTACAGTTTTGAAGTTTTGTTGTTGTTGTTTAGTTTTTTTGTGTGTGGTGGAGGTTGCGGGCTTGTAACATCCCTGATTGTCCTGGAACTTTCTTTGTAGACCAGGCTGGCTTCAGATTCTTCAGAGATCCACCTGCCTCTGTCTCCCAAGTGCTGGGTTTAAAGGTGTGCGCTTCCACTGCCCATTGGAATCTTACAGTTTTTTACTTATTAGATATTTGAGGGTTTTAAAGGCATTTAAGGCTGTTCTAGGTATTAACCATTATTGGGGACAACAGACACTGGCTTTCTTGTCCCTACTGTGAACATGACTAAGTCTGACCCATCAGATATCCCCAATTTGTTTTAGTATAGTTGTCATTCATTTTAAGAAACCATAAAGTCTTTGTATAAAGAATTAGCTATTTTAAAACATATTTATACTGATAATTAAAAAGCAAACACAATGTTGGATAATAGTCTAAGTTATATAGCCTATAGAATAGGATACTATACATTTAGTGAGCATAATACTAAAGAAAATTATTGGTGCTTTGGAAATAAGCTTAATGTTATGAACAGATGTTAGTTAAAAAAATAAATAAATAAAGCCAGGCTCCAACGGAACATTGGGCAATTCCATACTGGAGTGCAAAAAAAAGAAACATCATAATAATACATAAAAAATGTTTTGAGTAAATACATGGATATCATGTTTTTCTGGTTGATAGAATTTTAACACTTTTAAGATTTATTTTAAGTATATGGTACTCTTATCTACATGTACATCTGCATGCCCAAAGAGGGCATCAGATGCCATTATTGATGGCTGTGAGCCACCATGTGGTTGCTGGGAATTGAACTTAAGACATCTGGAAGTGCTCAGCTGTCTCTCCAGCCCACACTTCTCTTTTCTTTCTTTCTTTCCTTTTTTTTCCTTTTTTTTTTTTTTTTGTAATATGTAATGTATAGTTTTGTACAGATAACTTTTGAAGGAAAGAAAAAATAAAAATACTCTTAAAACATAGTCTTATATTCAGGTGGTGGTGACACATGTCCTTAATCCCAGCACTTGAGAGACAGAGGCAGGCAGATCCATGAGTTTGAGGTCAGCCTGGTCTACAGGGCGAGTTACAGGACCGCTTAGGCTCAAGTGCCATCAATTATAGTATATTGCTCATCCATTTTTCCAACCGTGGTTCACATTGTGGTCCTTCTGCTATTGATAAGTTGCTTCAGAATGATGTCATTTGGGATCCTTCTGATGTAATCTCACAGTTAGTGCTGGAGATGTAGGTCAGTGCTATGACAGTTTCCTAGAGCGCTCAAGGCCCTGGGTTCAATCACACATACGCACCCTCAATAAAACTGCAGTTTGATTCAGAGTCTCTATGGTGGTTTAAAGCCCGTGAGAACTATTTTTTTGTAACATGTTCCTCCGAAATAGAGTTGGGGAAAGAAGGCGATGCTAAATGAGACAGGCCATGGTGAGCCCGTCGGGTAGTCTCTGTATTTCTTGGAACATTTCTTTCACACCTCTATTTTCGCAAGAGTTTGCAATGTAGTAACTTGTTTACACGTCTGACTCTTCCATTTTAAGCCCTGTCAGACAGACAGACAGACAGCCTATTTGTCACTGGAGCTAGGCATGGGATCAGTGCTCATTACATCCGTTTCTTACCTTTTTTAAAAAATAAATCTAAAATTAGTAATGAAGCCTACACAATCCCCTGCTTTCTGATACAGTCCCACGGGGGTGGCTTTTCCTTTGTTGCAGACAGGGGAAATTGTGTTGAGTGTGTCTTAGAATAGTATAACCGGAGTTTGTTCTGGTAGAAATGAAAAGGCTTTTTTGTTGTTGTTGTTGTTGTTGTTGTTGTTTTGTAGATTGGTATTTTGCCTAGGTATATTTGCACTACTTGTGTGCCTGGTTCCCTCAGAGGACAGAAAAGGGCATCAGATCTCCCAGAACTAGAGTTATAGTTGTAAACTGCATTGTGGGTACTGGGAGTTGAACCTAGATCCTCTGGAAGATCATCCAGTGCTCTCAACCATGGAGCTATCTCTAGTTCCAGAAATGAGCTTTCGAGAAGATTCGAGCACATCACAGAATTAAGGATGAGTAATAGTGGAGAGGATGTCAACTATTTGGTGTTTATATTAGTAACTTGGACAAATGAAAAATAATCTTGTGATATGAACAGAGATTTAATTTTGGGTTGATCATTTTCATGCTCATTATTCCCAACTGCTTTATGAGCCATCTAAGGCCTAGCTGAGAGAGACCCCTGCTCTAGAGTTCACACATGCCACAGAAGTAAGTGCTTTCTGACTTGAAATCCACTCTGGAAACCCAGGCTTCTTGTCGCATTAGTGTTCGATGAACAGTGAGAAAGTCAGAGTGTAGGCTTGTCTGGATAGTTAGGGTGACTAAAATAGAGAAGTGAGTCTAATGGCCTGCGTTAGTGTTTCAGCGGTTTTATAATTTAGTTAGTAGACAAATGATTGCACTGCCAGTTTAATTGCCCACAAATTTACTGCCTGTCAAGTCATTCTGCCTGAGCTGCATTGTGGAGAGTGCTGTTGTGCCTGGTGTTACCAGCCTTCAGCGTGGCAGCATGTTCACTTGGATGTGAGCGCTTAGTGGGGGCTTTGCTGCAGGAGGATTGGAGGCTGTGGTACAGGGATGGAAGCATGACTGAGTCAGTGCAGAGGTTGGAAGTGGAATGTGTAGTGGTCAGAACTTGTACTCTGAAGTCAAACTGTGAGGGCTTCTCGCAGACCATGTATACACCCAGGGCAGGGTAGCCTTGGACCACTTGAATAAGCCACTGCTGATTCAGTGTGCTTTTATGTATATAGATGGACTCTGAATAGTGTCTGCCTTGAGAACACTTGATGGAACAGTTGTTGTTTTCAACTTCATGGAAATATAAATTAGCAATATTTGCATAAATTTTAGGTGTACAACTTAATGTTCTGATGAGCATACACATCATGAGTATACATGTAGTTAAGCTATTTAAAATGGGGTCTAAAACAGTGTTTTTAGCTGCTGCTGTGTCATGCTTTGATCTCCAGATGATTTACTTTACATAGCTATATATGAGTACATACATAAATAAGTACACGTACTTTTGCCTGCCATCTCTCCTCTCATGGAGGCATAAAGTACTTATAGTACCTGTTCAGTAAGGATTAGCTGACAGCATTTTGCAGAGCTTGGGAAACATTAACTAGTCTTAAATGTGACCTAATTCAGCCTTTTTGGAAGCATAAAATACATATTTAAGAAAATAAATCCAAGGTATACAACTCAGTGGATTTTTACAAAATAAAACTTGTAACTACCACCTAAATCAGGAAATAGGACTTTATCAGTATTAAGAAAAAGAAATTCTCATTTAAAGTCACCAAAGAACAGTGAGCTATAAGACAGAGGGTATCCTTGTGCTGACTTTGGAATATTGCTATAGAAGGTCTTACTTGGCCCTGGTTCAACCTCTACAGTGGTTGGATCCTTTAAATTTAGCCATGAAAAGTAGGATTTGAGGACAGTCTTCCAGCATGTCTGTGAAATGACTTGCTCTCAAGCACTTTTCTTCTTTGTTTTCAGAAAGAGTCCAGAGAAGGGGCCACTTAAAAATAAACCCTGGTTGTTAAGAGTTGCAGATAGAAAGCTACACTACACATCTTAACTGTATTCTGTTTGCCTTAGCCTGATGAAGACTTGTTCAATCCAGACTATATAGAAATCGACCGTATCTTAGAGGTGGCCCACACCAAGGATGCAGAAACAGGGGAGGTAGGTGTGTTGCCATTTTCATTTCGTAAAATTTGTCCTTTCTTCCACACTCACTGCTTGTCTTGTCAACAAATGATCTTTGTTTTATTGGCATTTATGTGTTCTCTTGCAGGGTGGGTTTTCTGGGGCTGGCAAAGAATGGTTGGTTACCAAGTTTCTTGAATTTTCCCATCAGGAAGTGACACATTACCTGGTGAAATGGTGCTCCCTGCCTTATGAAGAAAGCACATGGGAACTAGAAGAAGATGTGGACCCTGCAAAAGTTAAAGAATTTGAGTCTCTACAAGTTCTCCCTGAAGTTAAGCACGTGGTAATGTGTCTGTGTGTCTGTCTGACACCTCTTGTAACACGTTAACTTTTAATCTTAGCAATTATGGTGTGTATTTGTTTGGGTTCCTGAATGACTTCTTCCCTTGATGCTCTCTCCCCTTGACAAACTTCATCTGCATCCTCATCAGCACTTGCTCTGAACTCTGTTTTAATGTGTGTAACATGTAAGAAGCTTGGGTGTGGACTTGTAATTCTTGGTGTTCATCTGTCCTTTGGCACCAGTAACATGGAATGCAGAAGAGATGGTGTGGAACTCTGCAGTGTCTTTCCTAATCTCTGTTTTGAATCTCTTGCTCCCTCAGTAGTCTTTGTTTTATAATCCCCCATCCCCACTCCACTAGAATATTCTGAAAGTGAATACTCCTTAATGGTCCTTAGTAAATCCCTGGAACCTCAAGGAAAAGGTTTTCGAGATAGGTTTATTTGCTCTTCTGATTTTAGGTCATTTGTACATGGAGTACCAAACAATTAAAAGGAGGCAGAATTGGAATCAGAGACTTGTTAGGGTAGAACTAACTGAACTAACTTGGGAAGAGCAGTTGTTAAGGAAGGTTGAAACCAGAGACTGCACTTTCGTTTCCCGGCTGCCCAAACCCAAATAATCACAGAGAAATTATATTAACTATAACACAGTTTGGCCTATTAGCTCCGGCTTCTTAATAACTAACTCTTACATCTTAAATTAACCCATTTCTATTAACCTGTGTATTACCAAGAAGCTGTACCGTTAAGGTTCCAGTGTCTGTCTCCTTCAGCAGCTACATGGCATCTGCCTGACTCTACCTTCTTTCCTCCGCTATCTCTGCTTGGATTTCCTGCCTTGCTCTGTTCTGTCCTGACATAGGCTAATGCAGTTTCTTTATTAACCAATGGTAATAAAACATATCCACAGCATATAGAGGGAAATCTCACATCAGAGGGTGACTGAAGGCCTTAGTGATCTGTTTCTTTTTTTTAAATCACCATTTTCATATAAAAAATATCCAGTTACTTAATTTTGCGTCTAGTTTTTGCATCACTGGTGGGACGAGGAAGACTAGATTAAGTGTAGCTCCCTGTCAGAGTCCATTTAAGAGCAGTGTTTGTTTTTGGTATAATAGCAATTGAAGATATAGAGAAGCATCTGAAGATACTGACTTGCGATTAGAAACTCACACAGCTCACGGTGTGTTGTCTAAGTAGTTGACAAGCTTCCTTTTAGCCCTCCATTATATATGTACTCTAGTTATTCTTTTAATTTGTCAGTCATTTACTAAGCATGATAAAGGTTGATGTGTGTGTGATACCATAAAGAAAACAAGGTACAAGCCAGGAGTCCAGTCTAAAGGAAAGAGTACATGCATGTGGAACAGTACAGCACACCTAACTGTGATGATACACAAGCAAAGCATTGTGGGAGCAGAGGTTCATTCTGAGGCTGATTTACCATCTACAAGTCATCAGAATCCCAACCCGTTCTCATCAGCAAGCTCCCTCTGGGCAGGAAGGAGGAGTTCTCAGGTGTCAGGTGATTGCACTCTCCTTCTCTACTTTGCAAGTGTGAGGCTGTGACACTGTTTTCTCGGTGAGCTAGTGTCCTTTTAGACTTGTCTTCTTTTCCCAATTGATTTGTTTGGACTGAAAATGTGCATTTTGAAATTTTATCTCAAAAAATCTAAACTGAAATGGACACTATACATAAACAAAGGGTAAATTACCTTTACAAACAGTACTTTTTGCAAAAGAACTCTTGCTGTGGGTATTGAAGTTGAGACCTTACCTGTCTTGGTGAACAGGACATTCAGTGTCTGAACGAAGAACGGTCCAGAGAGATGAGTGGTTCAGAGAGGGATGCTGCTGCACGAGGGTGCTCCCAAGCCAGCCGTGAGCTTTCAATAAGGCCCCTCAAATGGCCTCTACAGTACTGAGAGCCAGTGATCGAATCAACAGAGGGGGAGAAGCTTCCAGATAATCATCCACCTTTCCTTGTAAAGAACCCCCAATGGACAGGGTGGCTTGGGCTTCAGGAATCTGGGCTGAATGGTTCTGAAAACAAAGGGACAGAGTAGCTGCTGAGTACAGGGTGTGTTTGTTCAGAGCTGTTTCTATAAAATACATTGGCATGGTAAGTTTTCTCTTTTATTTCTAAAACACCTATAACTGTGCTGCTGCTAGCATTCAACGGTCCCATTTCAAAGTGCGTAGTCTAACACAGCTGAAGTAATCTCTAGGCAAGCTGTCACTTCTGTCTTTCTGGAAGGTCATGGATAGCTTAGACTCAACTCCAAGTATGAGTGACATAGTGGAAGTTATTTTTCAGATATCACATACAAAAATGTCTTAGCTTCAGTTAGCAACAGATTTTAGATGTAAACTTTATTGTAGAAGTAATTCAAAGTAAAATTACAAAAGACTAAAAAAAATGCTGTATAGAAAAACAAAAAATCCAGTCTCTCATTTCTGATACCTAAGAATTCTTTTTAAGATCATAAATGTCAGTTTAGAGATTCAGTTTGTTTGTAAGCTAAAAAGTTGTTTCTTTGTGTAAATAAGAAACTAAAGCCTAAATAAATTTGTGGGTACAAAAGCTCAATGGATAAAGATTTAAATAGTCTCCTAAATAAGTAAGCACTGTCATTTTAATTGAAATTATAATAATAATTTTAAAAAACTTGTAAGCTAGAGTTTGAAAGCCATCTTATGTATGTATGTGCACACATGCTATCTATTGCTGTTTATGTTATTGTTTACTTACCCACTTAATGGGAGCAGGGCGAGCTTACCACTTCACTAAACTGGCTAACCAAAAAGCTCCAAAGATTAGCCCATCTATGTCTCATCCCTCCATTACAGTTTTGCATGACCATGCCTGACTTTTTGTGGGTGTACTAAAGATCCAAATTCAGGTGTTCATGCTTACATGGTGAGTACTTCACCCATTAAGCCATTTCTACAACCTTGGCAAGGCACCATTTTGAAAAATAATTGGCAAGGCACCATTTTGAAAAATAATTCCCTGTCAGATACATAGCTTCAGTGATTAAAGAATGGTTTTATTGTAATACTCACAAACAGTCTATGAAAAAAATGAACAGTCTGGATATAGCTGCATGGTTATCTTGAAGCAATATATAAGGGGCTGGGAAAAGGGCTGAGAGCATTTACTGTTTTTGTAGAGAATCTGAGTTCATTTATTTAGCAATTCAAGACCACCTATAACTCCAGCTCCAGGAGATCCTTCACCCTCCTCTGGGCACTCATGGTCACATACCTACACACAGATACATACATCTTTTTAACTTTGTATATAGTCATGTGGCATCTCGCTAGTATTCACAAGATGACTGAGTTTTAGAAACTGATATTTCATTTGGAAAAACAAAAGATGAGAACACTTGGCCAGGCAGTGGTGGCTCATGCCTTTAATCTCAGCACTAAGGAGGCCAAAACAGGCAGATCACTATGAGTTCAAAGACAGCCAGAACGACACAGAGAAACCCTATCTCAAAAAAAGAAAAGAAAGAAAAACGAAAAGGAAAGAATGCCTGTATTTTGTGTAAGGAGAATTAAAGAAGTTTTTCTTCCTGTGCTAACGTCAGAGACAAATCAGCACAGTCTTTTACTCATTGTCCTTCCCTGTGAGGAGACACAAACAAGCAAAAGTGAAATTCTGTTAGAGAAACCATGAAACCCAACTAAACTTGTTGGGAAATTAAAGTGTAGATGAGAATGTCATCCAAGAGCCTAGTAAAGATGTCTGACACTAGATATTAAGTCGGTCTATTACTGTTTGTAAACCTTATAGAAGTATTCATAATCTGGTAAGATTTAGAAAATGTCGCACCATTGAGAAAAATGTAAGCAGTTTGAATCCGTCCTTGGAGCAGCATGGGAATTTATACTAGCTTGCCCATTGTTTTCCATGTTATGTTTTTAAAACCATTTTGTACACTGTGCTTTCTGCTTCCTCCCTAGGAGCGACCCGCTTCTGATGCCTGGCAGAAGCTGGAGACGTCTCGTGAGTATAAGAACAGTAACCGGCTGCGGGAGTACCAGCTGGAGGGGATGAACTGGCTTCTTTTCAATTGGTACAACAGGTGAGGGACTCTAAACCGGCCTGTGCTCACACACTGCAGGTGTATTGTTGCCTTAGCCGCAGACATAATGAGTAGACTAGAAAAATGGCAAGAGCAGCACTGTTCCCAGCTTGGAATCTTCCAGAACTTTATTTTTATGTCAGTTTCCCGAATGAAAGGAGAAATATGTTGATATCATTGAAAGTGTGTTGATTGATAGAGGGGCATGGCCTGATCAAAATGATAGGAGGAATAAAACTAAGATCCTAGGAGGATGGGCTTTGTCTCTCTGGGTTTTAGTGTTTTAATAGAGGGTCTTATGTGGTCCAGGTAACCTCAGATCCAGTTTGCAGACTAAGAAAACCTTGAATTCTTGATCCCCTGCTTCTTCCTCCTAAGTACTAGAATTATAGGAATCTGCCACCATGCCTCCTGTCTTTGCACCTGCCACTCCTCAGTTTAAAGTCCGTGAAAGAGAACAGATAGACTCGCTCCACTGTTTTTTTAATGAATTATTTGTATTCTAGTTCATCTTAGAATCTAGAAGAACCTGGTGAAATTTGAGAAAGATAGATTGAGATTTTCATAAGACAACAGTCAGTATTTTTAAGTCAGTGCATTGTAATGCAAAACACACTTAGAAGGGATTCTGGTGTCCTAATGTTCTAGTGTAGCCTTTGCTACTTACTATGCGACCCAGAGCATAAAAGTTACCCAACTACAGGTTGTTGGATCACATATCTGAACAGTGAGGGGGTGAAACCAGATGTGTTCACACCTCTTCCAGGACCACCACTTTTGCTTCTGATCACTAGATAGAAATGTCTTTACTTTCATGACAAGGAGTTTATTATGTAGGTTAAATTTTTGTCCTTTGATAAATACAAAAGTAAACAATGGGGCTTCCATCTTTACTGTAGTTTCTAGGAAATTTGAAGGTCTGAAAACTGGCTTAGATAAACATAGGTTTTAGGGGAGAAAGGAAGGAATAAGAGTACAGTTGAGTGTGTGACATGGAAGCAAAAAAGAAAGTCTCTGTAGGGAGAGTGGAGAACAGCATGAGGTTGGGGCAAGAAGGAACCAACTGTAATGATAATGTATGAGAGAAAACACAATGGTGTGTGTGCTAGCCTAAAAAGTTAACTTAAAAATTAAATTTTAAAAAGTCTAGCTTGGGTTGTAGACATTTTCCCCCTGTCTTAATAGTGTTTTTTATAGTATTTATAGTTTCTATTCTAATAGTTTTGTTTTATAAATTGGCCTAGGCAAAGCACCAATAATTATAAAACTAGTTTTAGTTTCATTGCTGCAAAATTATAAAGCTTTTTCCTCACCTCAGATCAGCCTGAGTTATAACTAACCTCTGTGATTTTCTGTGTTGGTAATGAATTACTCATACTTCTTACCCTCTGCAGAAAAAACTGTATTTTGGCGGATGAAATGGGCCTAGGGAAAACCATCCAGTCCATCACATTCCTTTCAGAAATATTCGTCAGGGGAATCCATGGTCCTTTTCTCATCATTGCCCCTCTTTCCACCATCACTAATTGGGAGCGAGAATTCCGGACGTGGACGGAGATGAATGCTATTGTGTACCATGGCAGCCAGATCAGCAGGCAGATGATTCAGCAGTATGAAATGGTGTACAGGGATGCACAGGTGAGCCCCACTGAAGCCAAAGACCCAGAGACTCCTAACTTCACAACAGCCTTTCTGCCACCTGTCTTCGGGAGTTTCAGTCCTTCATCTTGAGCTACTGTTTGCTTGTTTGTAGGGTTCCTTTTGCTGAGGCTCACCCTGTGTATTTTGTGTAAGACTGTAACAAAACACACATTGAAGTGCTTTCTTATCCCTATGAGATACACGTGAGGTCTTTTTTTAGGACACTGAAAACTTGGTTTACTGACTAACCTGTGAAGTTGCTTGTTTGTGAGGTCAGCCAAGACTACATAGTGAGACTTTGTCTCAAAAAATTTTATTAAAAAGAAAAGTGTATGGTGTTTAAAATTTGTGCCCAGGGAATTTGTAGAGGAAATAAACAGATTGGATAAGGAAAGATAAAAGCGAGTTTCATGTTGAAAACACAACTTTATTTTCTATATTTTTGTTATCTGTTATCACTTTATTGAGTATGTTTCTGTATTTTCACCAGGCAGTGATTTTTATAATAAAAGTAAAAAAATGATCAATCAGAGGAAAACCAGGGGTTCAGATAATGTATGCATTGTTTGGTAGAAATTTTATATTGCTTTATCAGTAGGCAGCTCTACTCTTGAGATGTGATGGTGACATCCAGACAGACAGCAGAAGGGGGTGTAGCCTGTCTAGCAGCACTTATAACAGCTATGTGCACACTGCTCTTTGAGTTGTGCTAGAACTGAGTGATAGGGTAAGATGATGTAAATCTGAAAAGTAGCAGAGGGTTTCCTTGAGCGTTGAAGGTAGGTCTGGCTTAAGTAGACTCTAGGCTGAAGATAATGCATGAATAGTCTTCTTAGTAATCATGATTCAGAAACGAAAAGTTCCCTTATTGCCCTTCATCTTTCTCCTCTTCGTGAGGACACTGACTTGAAATTGGATTCTGTGATATTCTGAGGTCTTCTCTTTTCTAAATAGTTCATTCTTAGGTTTTCTCCTTCCTCATATGAGAGAAAACAGGGCATGTTGGCTTCTCATCTACCACTGAACTGTGCTGTTTTCTCAGAACTACGAGTAGAATTCAGTAGCCCTAGTGTAAAGCTCTGCTTTGATCTGTGTCATACTCAGGGAAACCCCCTTTCAGGAGTCTTCAAGTTCCATGTTGTCATCACAACATTTGAGATGATCCTGGCAGATTGCCCAGAGCTGAAGAAGATTCACTGGAGCTGTGTGATAATAGATGAGGCCCACAGATTGAAGAACAGGAACTGCAAACTTCTGGAGGGGCTAAAGCTCATGGCCCTGGTGAGAGCTAGCTAGCTTTTTACGTAAATAAACATGAATTTCTTTTGCACATCCTTTTTGCCACAGATTGACTACCAGAGGGACCTAGAAAGCACTAAAATTCCATGAAATTTGTAACCTGGAAACATGAGGTTTTCCAGTTTGTGCTGGGTCCCTGAGTGAACTGGTACTAGAGATGATAGCCTTAACATGACTGCCTCGGAACAGAGGTAGGCAGGCCCATAGCGATTCTGAGTGAACGAATGGCTGCTCTGGTTACTATGCAATTGCCGCTGGAGTCACTGATATGAAAGGAGAGCTGACCTGCTGATGACTACTGCTTAGCAGTACTGGCACCCAGTCTTTTCATTAAACATTTACCCCCAAATTGGGCACAGAGTGCCATGACTAATTTTTCACTACAGACATGCACTATTTTTGTGACTCCAACATGGTTCACAATCTGTTTTTAATTTTTATAGGAACACAAAGTGCTGCTCACAGGAACACCCTTGCAGAACTCTGTGGAAGAGCTCTTCAGTTTGCTTAACTTTCTGGAGCCATCGCAGTTTCCTTCAGAGACTGCTTTCTTAGAGGAGTTTGGCGATCTCAAAACAGAAGAGCAGGTAATTGGGAACCTAACAGATCGAGACAACGTGGTGGTTCCCTTGACGCTAAGGAAAATGCAAGACAGGATGTTTTAAAGTTCCTACTCTCGTAAAATGAGTTTTGAATATTTGTTTATGTTGAAGAAGGCACCTAATTATTAGCAATTCTTACTGCTAATAAGAATTATTTGGCCTCCTGCTTCACTGAATGTCCTTGCACGTTCAGTGATGTGTGTAGCTCTGGCCTCAGGAGCATGGTGTTGTCTTCTGCTTCCCTCATTCCTTCATCCTTCCTGCTCCATAATCTGCAGCATGTTCCCAGGGCCACTCTTCTTGGTTATACATTACACAGTGTGAGGAAAAAAAGGCAGTCACATATGTGGAGTAACTGATAATTCTAATTTTGTTTCAATTACCTGAAGTTCTCCAGCTTTAGAAGATCTAGTACAGTCTAGTTTATTAAACCCAATTTATAAAAATATTCATCTATTGTTGTTAGAAGTCTCTACTAGGAATTAAAAAAATATGTCAGACAAGCTTAATGCTATAAGAGGAACAAATAGCAGAGTTGGGCATGTAAAAGGAAGGGTCATACCCATTAGGAGTCTGGAATGACAAAGGAGAGGATACGATATAAGAATCTTTTGAGAGTAGGTTCCCAGTGGTGAAGAAGAGTGACTACATGGGAGGGGAAGCTCAGAATAATCAGAGCCATGAAATCATATAGTAGTGACAGATGATCTGGTTGGGCTGAAACAGGATGACCGAAGTACAGAGTAAAACCAGAAGAGTCATGGTTATGTTGTTGGAAGATCTTGAAATGGAGGTTGAAGAGCAAGACGGTAACAGAGGAGTCTTACAAGACTTTTTCTTAAAGAAAGCTAATTGATCTAGCAACGGTGCAAAAATGTGTTGGTGTAGAGAATTTGGGGACCAGAAAAGTTTAAGACTGCCACTAACTGATGTGAATACACTGTGGTTCCAATCTGTTGCTTTTACTTGTCAAGCACTTCAGACATTGGAAACAGTGAAAAAAATCACATCTAATTCTCCTCCTCTGCATTCAATATCTGTTGATCCTTCAAAAGCCAGCTCCAACCCACTCTCCAGTTTTGGACCATTGGAAATGCATCCTCTTCTCCCATTGCACTTAATTTGTGGTATGCATTTTTTCTTCTTCCTAGACAATGATCTCCTTGAGGACAAGGCCCACATCTTCTTCAAAGTTGTGTTTGTTGTATTGACCAGCAAAGTGTCTGGCATATAGTATACTCTAAATGATTCAGGTATGAACCAAGTGAAGGGCAAAAGCTGAACCCAGCATGTGGCAGATTGACATTTGTCCCTACCTTTAACAATTAGCTAGCACTGTTTTTCTCTTTAGGCTCTTACATAGTAACTCTTTACCCATTGGGGGAACAACATTCCTAAATTCCTTTGGATAGTAAAATTAAGGTCTAAAAACAGTTAGGTTTAAAGTTGATATTAGAAAAAAAAAATTAGCTGTCGGGTTTATTTTGTATTTTTAATTATATTTTTTTAATTGACACAAAAATTGTATATGCGTTTTATACCATAGATTTTGAAATATGTACACATAGAAATAGCTGAATCAAACTTCTTAATCTATGCATTACATTATCATCTTACATTTTGTGGTGAAAATACTCAAAATCCACTCTCACAGCAGTCCTCAAGAATACATTGTTACTAATTATAGTTGCCATGTTATACAATAGCTCTCTTCACTTTGTTCTATCTAATTAAAATTGTATGACCTTTGACCAACATCTCCCAATCCCACTCTCTGGTAATCTTCATTCGACTTATTTTATAAAGAAGAAATGTTTTATTTTAAAACACAGTACATATAAGTTCTCAGAAATGTCTATTTCCAACTTAAAACATGTTCATCGTCGTCCAAGACCTATTTCAGTAAGTATCTCTCCTTCCCGACCCTCGAGTTGTGCTCTGTTTCTTCGGGGAGCAGTGCTGCAGCAGATCCTGCCCCTTCTAGAAACAGTGAGCAGACAGCCCTTCTTGACTTTGAACTTGATTTCTTTTGTGCTCTCATGTCCTTTTTTTGTTTTCTCATTAGGGTTGATCTTGTATCACACTTGAGCTGTATGTGGGTTAATTCGGGTGTCTGACCTTGAATCAACTACACTGTCATTGTCTTCCTGGAAGAGGGAATGGGTTACCTTGTTCTACAGTCTAGTGAATGGGATCTTTGTGTAGGTGTGGTCTCTTAGACACGTAGCCAAATTTTAGCAAAGAACACTGCCAGACTTGAAATGGACCAAATATGACAGCTCCCACGATGTTACCATACAGCATTTAATTCTTCACACACTCCTACTTCTAAACACAAATACTTATGCTGTTATTTGAAAGGCATAGGATAACTCCATTTCAAACTGCCTCTAGTTCTTAACTTTGTCCTTTTCAGCATCTCTGTCTTTCTTCTTAATGTATCACTTGTACTTTCTAACAAGACAAAGTATTCTTGGTATAATTTCCGTGCATGTGTGTGTAGGAAAAAGAGCAAGAAAGCTGTTTCCTCCATCCTAGAGAATAGGTGTTGTCTTCCTTTTCCCTTTTTATTTTGTTAAAAGGTTGCCACAGAGATTCTTGATATATGTTGAATTGAAACCACATCCCCTTTTCTTCCAGATATTATTGTAAGCTCCCCTTTTCATGTGATTTTTATGACCTCAATACTATGATGACATTGAAGAGATTATAGTGAATCTTGAAATATCATATTGATCATTTAGTCCAGACTGGGTCAAATAAATGGCTATCCTTTTCCTAAACAGGTAAAGAAATTGCAGTCTATCTTAAAACCAATGATGCTTCGGCGCCTGAAAGATGATGTGGAAAAGAACCTTGCTCCCAAGCAAGAAACCATCATCGAAGTAGAACTGACCAATATCCAGAAAAAGTATTACCGTGCCATCCTGGAGAAAAACTTTTCCTTCCTGACCAAAGGCGCAAATCAGCACAACATGCCCAATCTTATCAATACTATGATGGAACTAAGAAAATGCTGCAACCACCCCTACCTGATCAATGGTGAGTCAGGGCAATAGGGAGCAGTAACTCAGGACAGACATGGACATCTGCTGAAAGCCAGTGATCAGCAAAGTCCTTAAATGCTAAGTTTTCTTTATACACTGGCCTAGTGGTTTTTAACCTTCCTAATGCTGTGACCCTTTAATACAGTTCTTCATGCTACAGTGACCCCAACCATAAACTATTTCATTTTTACTTCATAACTAATTTTGCTATTGTGAATTGAAATGTAAGTATCTAATATGCAGAATATCTGATATGCAACCCCAAAAGAGTTGTGACCCACAGGTTGAGAACCACTGCACTAAAACTTAACATTTTTTTTCTTTTTGGTAAGTATGAAATAGAGGTATTTGAGAATGATGGATCTGCCTAAATAATGTAATAACTTCTACCAACTCTGCCTCTGCAGGGCTTCTGTAGACCTGCCTAGCAGAGAATGTGGCATTAACTATTTGTTGCCCTTATGACTCATAATCTCACCCAGACTTTCCATTTGAGAATAGAAATGTGTTACTCAGTTGAATGAATGATGGTGCAGCGATGAGATTAAATGTTCGTGAGTCAGTTCGGTCATATTAGTCACTCTGACTAATTGGAGAAGGTGTGGCCGTCAGCCTCAGTTGTCTTCTTCAATCACTCTGCACCTTACTTTTGAGACAGGGTCTTTCATTGAACCACGAGTTCACCAATTCAGCTAGACTGGCTGTCTAGGAAGCCCAAGTAGTCTCCTTTCTCTACCTCCTGCCCTATTCTGGGGTCGCAGGCATCTGCTACCATACCCATATTTTCATGTGGCGCTGAGGATTGAACTCAGGTCTTGTCAACTGAGCCATCTCTGTAGGCCCAGGGTTTGGATGTTTTGCTTTGGTTTTAGAGGTTTAGGAAAATGGTGAAACTGTTTGAGGAACCCTAGTAGTGGTAGGACTTGGATCCTTTTCTTGCTGATCTTACAGTAACAAAGTTGTGAAAGTCTTCTGCCAACTCTGGATGATTTTCTCTGCTTGAGTAAGTTGGGTTAGAACTTGACATCCCAAACTCTGAATTTCCTAGAGGAAGTTCTCAGTAAAGTAAGGTGACTTTACTTTACCCTGCAAAGTGACTGCTAAGGGTACAGACCCCGAATCTGACTGCTGGTCCAGTAGTTAGGATTTCCTTTATTTCCCCAGAATCTACAAAACAAAGAACAGCTTTTAATTACATCTTATTCAAGAATAGTTTTGCTCATTCTTTTCCAGGGGCAGAGGAAAAGATTCTGGAAGATTTCCGGAAAGCCCACAGCTCTGAGGCCTCTGACTTCCAGCTGCAGGCCATGATCCAGGCGGCCGGGAAGCTGGTGCTGATAGACAAGCTGCTCCCCAAACTGATCGCAGGTGGCCACAAAGTGCTCATCTTCTCGCAGATGGTGCGCTGTCTCGACATCCTGGAAGATTATCTCATCCAGAGGAGGTGAGGCTGTCCTTTCTCAGCACTCTAACCCAGCACTGTAGGCTTGAACATCGACAACAACAGAACGTCACTGTTAGCGAAAAGGAATGCCTTTTAAAGATTGACTAAGTCCATTGTTAATCTTAGGACCAGATAGTTTCAAGTTTAACTGTCTGGAATAAATTCATAATTCATAGCTTTCATAATGTGGAGTTACTGTTTTGCTTATCTTTACTGTTTTGTTTATCTTTACTTCTGTTGGAAGAAATAGAATTGCAGTAGCATTAGGCACGATGTGGGGACATTCTTATTGTCTAGTATGGTAGATGTGCATCATTGAAGGCATGACATCCTTAAGTTTCTAAAGTACTTGAGCCAACAACTCAGAAAGAATTGTCCACTCAGTGGCTCTCTGAGGCTTTGTGACACTGACTATGGCACCCTGCTTTTTACTCCTGGCTTCTGTGCTCGTGCAAGTGAGAAGTCCGGCATTGTGGATTGTTTAGATTCTGTGCAGGGACTGCACGGGTCTCCTCTCACTGTCTTCGACTCTCTGTCACTGTGATATACAGGTGATCTAAAGATGGTGATTGGAGTTAGTAGCATTAACACTACACGTCTTATCAAGTAGTTAAATTGGAGTAGGTCTCAGTTGTCTTAGCACATGTTCCTGTCTTTGAAGATTCTGTTTGTCATTATAAATTACATCACTTCACAGAAAGAATACTGAAGGAAATGGCAGATTTAACTGTGGATATGCTAACTTTTAATATTGTGTAAATAGTTCTTCAGAATTAGATTAGATAATAAGGAAAGTCCTCTGAGCACCACGGTAGAAATTTACATGAAAGAATTATTGAGACCTACCATTCTCTTCTTGGAGGAAGCTAATGGGTCTAAACCTTCTGTTGAAACGTGCTATAGATACCAACTGAACAGAACAGCATAGCTGCTGGTGTCCCATGACTCATTCTGATTGTTTATTACTGAACTTTACACAAAAATGTTACATGCTTATGGAGGGTACAAATGTGAGCACTCACTCTTTGTTTCGTGTGTGTGTGTGTGTGTGTGTGTGTGTGTGTGTGTGTGTGTGTGTGTTTTCCAACTGCTCATTGCTAGCAGACAAGAAAATTGTTCATTTCCCTTCAGGTTTTCTGAGGTCAACAACTCTTGTGCCAAAAACATGTCATCTCCACCCCCATTAAGTCCCTTAGAGGTTTATCCAGAGTGCCACCTGCTTCTTGTTGACATACGAGTTTCTCAGAATTACAGCTTGATGAGCCCCATTAATTCCTAGGGATCTTATTCAAAATACAGTTGTCACAGAGGGTTAATTACTGAAGTTTAGTGTGGGAAATTTTCTGGTATCTGCTTTCTTCATTCGAACTTATTAGCCTTCCAGGTTTTCTTTGTTCTTGAGTGTCTTTACTGCTCCAGCTGTCAGCTTGGTTTTGTCCTCATTTAATTTCATGCCAGATTCATACAGAAGATCTGGCTCAGAAACAAAGGGAGAGTTGAGAGTGATTTAAGAGTTCATATAAATCCATTTTTAGTTGTTTGTTCTTTGAGAGCACTCCCTCAAAACTAAACAAGTGATAGAATGAGAATCGTCTCTGCCATTCTGTACACATACCGTTTTATTTTGTTTTGTTTTTTTTGTTTGTTTGTTTTTAAAAAAAAAAAACTTGTTACATTAGAGCTGCCAAAATGCTTTCTGCTTTATGGACACAACCCATCCTTGCCATGCCTCCCCAGGTGATGTCCTAGCTTTGTCATCCCTATTTGTTGATTTCGTCCTTCCGGAATGCTGTTTTAAATAACTTGGTCTTTCTTTAAAAACAGTTTTTCAGGTTTATTTATTTTTATGTGTATGGACATTTTACCTACAAGCATGTCTGTGTGCTGTGTGCATGTCTGATACCCAAGGATGACAGAAGATGATGTCAGATAAAACGGAACTGGAGTTATAGATGGTTGTGAACCACCATGCAGCTGCTGGGACTCAAACCCAGGTCCTCTGCATGAGCAGCCAGTACTCGAACCACTGAGCCCCCAGGCTCAGACTTTTTCTCAGAATGTTCCTTTTTCTATTATTTATTTATTTATTTATTTATTTATTTATTTATTGTGTGTACAATATTCTGTCTGTGTGTATGCCTGCAGGCCAGAAGAGGGCACCAGACCTCATTACAGATGGTTGTGAGCCACCATGTGGTTGCTGGGAATTGAACTCAGGACCTTTGGAAGAGCAGGCAATGCTCTTAACCTCTGAGCCATCTCTCCAGCCCCCTCTCAGAATGTTCTTAATCCTTCTACTTGACTATCAGTTTGGTGCCAGAGTAACTTGCCCCTATAAATTCACTTGTTGAGAATCCATTGTCAGTGGAGTCAGTAGGAAGGATATAAAAAGATACAGGAAAAAAAAAAAAAAGATTGCTGTTAAGCCATACTGCTCTGTTATTTCATGGTATCCTACATAAACACCTGTGTTTTGTTTTATTTTCTGAATAGTCAGTAGCAATATGTCCCTTGAATAATTTCATTTCCTGTTCTTTATTCTCTTAACCTTTACCCCACCATGCTGTCCAAACCATTCTTATCTGTCAGCAGGGGCCCTCCCACCTCACTCCATTGTCCTCTTCTTGTTCTTTAGTCTTCCTTGTTGTTTTCTTTTTTTTTTAAGATTTATTTATTATGTAATTATGTATACAACATGCCTTCCATGTGTGCCTGCAGGCCAGAAGAGGACACCAGAGCTTATTATAGATGGTTGTGAGCCACCATGTGGTTGCTGGGAATTGAACTCAGGACCTCTGGAAGAGCAGCCAATGCTCTTATCCGCTGAGCCATCTCTCCAACTCCCTGGTTGTTTTCTTATTCTTTTGGCTCTTTGCTCTTTTAGGGACCCCAGCCACCCAGCTCCTAAATAAATACATGGATGCTTATTTTTACTTATAAAAGTCTGATCTTAGATCGCTTTGTTTCTTGCCAGCTTTCCTTAACTTAAATTAGCCCATCTACCTTTTGCCTTTGGGCTTTTACCTTTTCTTACTTCTGTATATCTTACTTTGACTCTTATTCCATGGCTGGCTGTATGGCTAGGCGGCTGGCCCCTGGTGTCCTCCTCTCCTTGTTCTATCTTATTCTCTGCAGTATAAACTGGGAAATTTGTGAGAATAAGTTATTTAGACAACGTACTGGGGATCAGTACTTTGTGATCTTAACTCTTGTAGTCATCCTGGCTTTTTTTTTTAATTGTTTCACAAGGGAGACATTTTTTGATGCTGTTTTAATCTGCTATACTTCTTCTGTAGGGGGTGGGATTTCTTTGAAGCTGTTGTCATTTGGTCTAAATTGAGAAGGGGAGGATTGGGACCATTGGTCATTTGCTTTCTGATTGCTTGTTCTTTGAACCATGATTAACACCTGGGCTTTTATTCATTTGGGTCCCCTCAGATACACCTATGAGCGGATTGATGGGCGAGTACGGGGGAACCTGCGCCAGGCAGCCATCGACCGGTTCTGTAAGCCAGACTCAGACCGCTTTGTTTTTCTTCTGTGCACCAGAGCAGGAGGCCTAGGGATCAATCTCACAGCTGCTGATACCTGCATCATATTTGATTCTGACTGGAACCCACAAAATGACTTGCAGGTAACCATCAGGATGATTGCTCTTTGTGTTAGCTGCCCTGACTCCCAGGATGTCATCACAGATGTGGCTTAGTTATAGATTGTCTGTTGTGCTTCGTGCAGTGGTATCAGCTTTTAGGGCTTTGGCCAGGAGAAGAAACTAAATGAAAAGTAGGTGTTAACCCTTCCCACTAATCACCCTGGCTTCAAAGGCAGCTGGTGATTATAAATAAAATCCATTGACAGTTCTTTGTGCTGGTGAAGGGATGTTAGAATCAAAGACAGGTTGCTAAGTATGGTAAGTAGTTTTTGAAGAAGTAACATATACTCAACATTAAGGTTAAAAGGCAAAAGCTAGTATTTGATCTATCAAGAACCTAATTTGGAGTTAGGGATATGGGTCAGTGGGAGAACACTTGCCTAGCATATACAAATCCCTGCAGCTAATCTTTTTAAATAAAGACTTAAAACAGAAAGTTAGGAAAGTATTACCTTGATGCCTGCCATCTATTTATTTAATAATTTTGTTTGAATACAGCACATTCCCATGTATATTTTGGTTACCTTCATTTTGCAGTGGTGGCTGTAAATAGGTTGGCAACAGAAACCACCAAAGCCACAAAGTATTTAGCGTCAGGCACTTGGCCAATCTTCACAAACCCTAGACAAATTGCTTCATGAGCCCTTGGCAGCTATGAAGCTCTGGACTCCTTTGCAATGCTTACTCAACATTAAATTGGTTGTAGGGCAAAATGTTGACGAGAACAATAGTATGAGAAACCAAAAATGAGTGGCCAGTTTAGACATTCCTACAGGAATTTTTAGAAAGCAGATTGGAAGCATTAAGGCCAGAGACAATAGTTTTGGAATAAACTTACCTCTCCTAATGGAGTGTAATCATTAACCATTGAATAGGTAAAACACCAAGAAAAGCAAAAAGTGGGAATGCCAAACCTAGCAGAGAGGTAAAATCATCTAAGATGATTGACTTACATGTGTAGCAACCAAAGGAAGTGGGTTGAGCGGTCCCAGAATTAGATCTGAGAAGAGAGGAGGAGATACTTTGTAATGGCTGTTTTTAATATGGACTGCTGGAAAATTGGGAAAAGATAAAAAATAATCATGAAGTCCGCACTGAAATTAGATAGTTTGACATTTTTCCATGTGTTTTCAGTGTGTGAGATTCCTCTAACACTCAGCTTAAATGAAGTGACCAAGAAGACCAACACTATAGATGGTCAGGGTGCAGCCTGTATGCTCAAACATCACAAAAACATAGTGAATGAGGGAGTCAGCACAATAATGATAGCCCAGGTCAGGGTTTGATTTTGACTCTTGCTCTTCCAGTCTAGCTTTTAAGAGTTCATAATTTGGTAGGAATTTCTTTTTTCTCTTTTTAACGTGTCATCAAACTTTAGCTATTTAAAAAGAAGAAGAAAAAGAAACCCGGCAGTGATGGTGTACACCTTTAATCCCCAGCACTCTAGAGGCAGAGGCAGGTAGATCTCTGTGAGTTCAAGGCCAGCATGGTCTACAAAAGCTGGTTCCAGGACAGCTAGTACTGTTACACAGAGAAACCCTGTCTTGAAAAGTGAAAAGAAAAAGAAAAAAAAGAAAAATATTGGGTACTTTAAAGGCAAGGAATTGGATAAATGATTATTGGGAGTGATTGATGAATTTGTAAAGGTGATAATGATATCTAGAGGGACGGTTCAAGTTCTAAGTCTCTGAGTCTAGAGATGAAACAAAGTTCTGCATGCTTGATGGACTGGATTCTACCTACAGAACAGTGCACTCTCCATATGCACAAATATACTTTCATTCTTCATAATGTTTGCCCTTATACACGGAGTATTTACAGAGTAGGGGAAATCTGGAGCCTTGACCTTCAGACCTCCTTGTGCTTGCCAAGACTGCAACTAAATCACCCATGAAGGTGGGTAAAATAAGAGATTCTAGCACTACTGAAAAACTACTAGACTTCCCCAAGTGATATTCTTATTCTGTATGTTTTGCTTATGTAAACACATTAATATCTTTAATAAATGAATCATCAACAATTCTTTGAGGTTATTGCCCTTGGGAAATAGATTTAGTCATAAGCATTTATCTAGGAATGGGTTGAGGGAATACCACCTATACTACCTGATATAAATATCAAACCATGGGAAATAGAGCCCATTTTGAAGCAGGTTTTAACCTCTGTCATAGTGAAATTTTAGCAGAGCTCCAGAGTTCACTGTGTTCTCAATCGATATGGCAATATCTGGACCAGTCCAAAGTTGTTTCTAGTCAGGACACACCAAGAAGGTGTCATTGCAGGGATAATTTCTTAACTGATTCCAAATGGAACCCTGTAGGACCTTGAAATTAAAGCAAGCATGATTATAGGAAGACTGGACTCTGCCAACGTGCACCTGAGTCTGAACTAGGCAAATTTGCTAATGAAACAGATACAAGATGATCATCTCAAAGAGTGTCTTTTGACTCAAGTTTCAGAGGTTACAGCCCATGATCATTTAACCCTGTTGCCTTCAGACCTGCAGCAGGACAGCACACCATGGTGCCAGGCTCCTGGGGGAGCAGCCTTTTCAGCTCATGGTAGCTAGGAAGCAGAGAGTCAGTAGCTGGTCACAATATCCCCTTCAAAGACATCTCCACCCTGACCTAATCTTCCCCTGCTAGGACCCATTTCTCATCATTTTCTGTAGTGCTAAGCACATCTTTAAGGCAGGTCTCTGGACATATCAGCTTTTGTGGCTACAGAATAGACCTCCAGTCTCTGGAAAATCAGCTGAGCATCAAAAATTAATCCTGTATCCTTTAGGCTTTTCATTGTTACTGTGCATCCATTCTGCCCTCTGATTGTTTTCTGGAGAGGGAGAGGTGATTTGGTTTTGGTTTGTGAGACAAAAGCCTTACTACATAACCTAGGTTGGCATGGAGCCCAGATCTTGCTCCTCCTTTCAAGTCCTATGCTGCTGTGCCTGGCTAGGGATATTTTTTAATTTAGATCTTCATAAGACATTGTTATTGAATATCAACTGTTATTTCCTTTATCTGTTTTGAAGTCTGATTTGTCCAGTAAATCATATCCTGCTCCCATTCCCTGGTTGGGGTCAGTTCAGAAATAGACATAAGTGAACAAAAAGGATCAGAACATTGACTTTCAAAAGTCTGAGGATACTGACAGAACTTGGCTCAGTGACTCCTATACGTGCACATCCTCATGTCTTGGCTAAACTTGCCCACCCAACTCGATTGACAGCCATCCATAGAGTGGAAGATGCCATGTAAACCTGCTAGTGGCAGGTGTGAAAGATATAACTGTGTCCCACTCCCGAGGTCCCATTCTGTACCCTTGTGATGCATCTCATTTGGGCCCCACTGCAATTGCTGTCCTCTTCTGAATGTTCTCCCTTTCTTTCTTTTGTATGTGAAAGTTCTGATTAGGAAAATAATACTTTGAGATTTGTCTGCTGATACCATTTTGCTGCTTGTTTATCTTGGTTAACTAGCAGCCCAGAGGTGAGGAGTCTGAGACAATCTTTATTGTGGTCAGAGACCCATGATCCTGCTTGCTTTTTGTCCTACAAACCTCCATGTGTGTGATTAAAATCTTGGTCTTAACCTGAGGCAGGAAAAAGAAGGCAGTCCAGTGTGATGTATTTGTATAGGCTCACAGAACTCGTAGATGACTCTGTAGACTGTTCAATCTCCTAGTTGGATCGGACAACCCTGCCGTTGCTGGGAATATGTATGTTTCTTCAGTTGAGCCCATTTCTGCCCTGTATATAAAATTGGGTTCTAGGCATGAGTAAGAAAGGGGATGTGTATGCTAGAAAAGCACGAGTGTGTCTGTCACACTCCTCTTCCAGACCTTCGTCTGGAATGCTTATTCAGCTGCCTTTTGTGGTTACTTTCAAGCCAGAAAAGCCAGGAAAAAAATAGTGTCAGTGCTTAGTGACCACTACAAGACAGAGTTACTTACCGTCTAGGTCAGCAGTTCTCAAATGTCAGAAAATGCAAATATTATATTACGATTCATAACAGTAGCAAAATTACAGCTATGAAGTAGCAATGAAGATAATTTTATGGTTGGGGTCACCACAACATGCGGAACTGTATTAAAGGATCACAGATTAGGAGGGTTGAGAACCACTGTGTCCCAAAAGCCATATTATTTACCTTAATCACTTTATTTTTAATTAACTTTCATTATTTTTATTTGTTGGGGTGAAGGATGTACACCACAGCAGGAGTGTGCACCACAGTGAAGGCCAGATCCTATGGGATCCTGGAGGTCATCAGACATGGTGACAGATGCCTTTACCCACAGAGCCATCTTGTCAGCCCATTGATCACTGTCTTTATTTGCCAGAGTTAATCCACCAAATCTCCCAGTCTGATAGAACAAAGATTTGCTGTCCCTAAATATACTGACACATGGAACAGCCAAAATCAACCAAGTGAGTTATCTATCATTAGAAACCTGAATAAACTGTAGTAGACTTAACTTTGGGGCCTGGAGAGATGGCTCAGCTGTTAAGAGTACTGCCTGCTCTTCCAAAGGTCCTGAGTTCACTTTCTAGCAACCACATGGTGGCTCACAACCATCTGTAATGAGATCTGGTGCCCTCTTGAGGAAGAGACCTGGTCAGTTGTCCTCATCATTCTAGACCATGAAACTCAATATAGACAAGTTCAACATAACTGCCTATACGACCTACCCATGCATGCTTCAGCATTGCCAGGGCATAAATTCTATTTTTTTTTCTCATGCTTAACTTTGAACAAATAATGGGGAAATATCTCTGTAGACTGCTACGGAATCTATCTTGATAAATTATTGAATAAAAAAATAAAAATGTGTATATGCTAGCATTTATTTATTTATTTATTGGGGGAATGCACAACATGAAACTGGTCTCTGTGTTTGGTGGTCTTCTGCTGTCATGCCATTTGAGCACTGCTAAACGACTCAGGTGTCATTTTCAGCCATAAGTTAGTAAAAGGGTCAAATTCTAACCAGATAGGCAGACTTAAGAATCTCTATTTTACTTAGACTCCTTCCTTTTTCCTGTCCTGCAGATAGCCTCCTTTAACCTCCTGGCATTTGAACCATGAGTCCTACTGCTTACTGTTCTATTCCAGATGCTGGGGGTCACAGTAAGACCATGAGACAGAAGCAGGACTCTGAAGCTGTCCTTTTCTGCCACTGTCTTCACTCAGTTGAGAGCCAGGGCACATCATCACTGCTTGGTTCACCTCTATCAAAGCAAGAGAGCACTCGGGTCTGCAGGAGTACCTGCAGCCTTCAGATGTGTGGCGTGATTATTCCTCCTGGTCACTGTCAGTGACATCCCTCCCTACCTGATTGTGGGAGCAGACATTTCTTGTTGAAAAAAAAAAAAAAAAACAGGGTTTCTTTTTAAACAATAGGTGAATTTAGTATTATACAAGAAATACCAAGAAGAACTGCGGAACATGTTAAAAGCAAGGGAACTGTTAAAGACTATTGGTCTTTGTTACAATATATAGGCGTAAATACACAGCTCTTTGTGTTCCTTGAACATGTGTGTACAAACACGCACCCCCCCCCCCCCGACCATTGATTCATACTGATACCTCCATGCTAACACTACAGAGTCATTCTGTAGAGTTTTATCTCCATACTAGGCTGGACAGTGTTGAAAAAGCTCAGGCATCAATCTGCAGAGGCCATATGACTACAGTGCAGTCAGACCTAACAACTGTATTGAAACATATGGCGTCATTCTGTTCCTTAGAGAACCAATAATAAAAACCTTATTGGTTACTTTAGAAGATGTTGTTTTGGAAATTGATTAAATAAAGAGAAAGAATCAAATGTTTAACTTTTCTTTAATAATTATATATTAGGGCAACCAAAATATTAATGAAAGCAATTATAACCTCCAATAAAGAAATGGATGTGCACAGTAGTTTTCAAGTTCATATGAGGCCAGCAGATTAGCATGTGCATCTTAACGGAATTTGAAATCCCATCTGTGAGATGCCTGGCCAAAAGGTCACAAGGTATAACTCCAGTTTAGAGGAAATATAAGGGGCAAAAATACCCACTCAGATATAGCACAAATATAGTAAGCAAGATGGGGAAACGGGACCAGCACATTACACTAACAGCTGAGTGGGAAGGCCAGAAGGCTGGTTGATAGTGGGAGTTATTTTGTTTTGGAGGCCTATAGCTTAGAGGTAGAACACTGCCTGCCATGTGTTAGACCTTTGTTTAATCTCCATTGCAGTGGGGGACAGAGTTGTTTTTAATTATAGCAGTGGTGAGGGGATGTGTTTTACCTTTAGAAGTTCATAATAAAAATGTAAGGATGAGGAACACTGCTTTAAGATTTCTTGCCTTACCATTATGGAGAGTAGGAGTGTGGTAGAAAGGAAACCAGATTGTCCACAAGGGTCTACTATGCTATGCTTTTCTCTGGCTTTGTCTGGGTTTGGGATTTTTTGTAGTGAACTTTACAAACAGAAGAAAAGCAGTGCTGCTGCCTCTGAGGCATTTCCCAGGGGTGGAACAGCATCCCGAGGGTGAGCATCACCTCACTAGATGCCTGCAAACCACCATAGCAGGAGGGGAGACAGCTGCGTCCTCCCCACTGCTTTGTATCACCATACATAGTCAGTGAAGCAGTCGGGAAGGAAATGGCTGACTCCAGACATGGCAGATGATACCACTCATCCCACAGGAGCCACGGTCACTGTGTTTGTGTATGAATGTGAGTATCCATGGTTATAAAATGTGTATGAACCTTCTTCCCAGGCTCAGGCCCGGTGTCATCGGATAGGCCAGAGCAAAGCTGTGAAGGTGTATCGCCTAATCACTCGAAACTCCTATGAGCGGGAAATGTTTGACAAGGCCAGTCTGAAACTAGGCCTGGACAAGGCTATTCTTCAGGACATCAACAGAAAGGGCAGCACCAATGGGGTGAGTACATTCTACCCATGTTGAAGCATTGAGGAGCCTTTGACCCCAGAACCAGGCAGATGGCACTCTGAATTCCAGACCAGGCAGGGATGAGCAGCAAGACTGTCTCAGAACAGCAAAAAAGAGCACTTTCTAGGATTTATTTATTTATTTCTGAAAGCTGTTTTTGGGTTCCTTTTTCACCATTTGAGTCAGTCCTCCACAGCATAGGTAGGTAGTAATCTCCTATAGCAGGAAATAATCTGGAGGCAGTTCCTGCATTTTCTGAATGGATAAAGGCAGTCTGGGAGCTGCTGTGTGGTAGTGGTAGGGATGCTCAACATGCAGTAGCATTGCTACACATTTTAACCACACCCATCAACCAGTAGGTTTAACATTCATATATATATATGAGCCAAAAGGCCTAACATTTTTATGACGTATTTGTTGCCCTAACTTATCTCATACCCCAGACTTTGTGCTGCCTTTTTTTTTTAAGATTTATTTATTCTTATTTTATGTGTATGAGTGCTTGCCTACATGTGTACCATGTGTGGACCTTGGTGGCTACAGAGTCCAGGAAAGTGTAGTGATTTAGAGCGGCGGGCTGTGGCCTGGCTCCCACATGGCTAGCTTAGCCCGGAAATAGTAACACAGAAACTATATTCTTTTAAACACTGCCTGGCCCATTATATCTAGCCTCTTCTTGGCTAACTCATATCTTGCTTAACCCATTTCTAATAATCTGTGTAGCACCACGAGGTGGTGGCTTACCAGGAAAGTTTCTAGCCTACGTCCTTCTCAGGTTGGAGAATTCTGGCTTCTTCCTCCCAACATTCTGTTCTGTTTACTCCGCCTACCTAATTTTCTGTCCTATCAAAGGGCCAAGGCAGTTTCTTCATTAACCAATGAAAGTAACACATAGACAGATGACCCTCCTCTATCAGGAAAGAGTGTCCCATCTCCTACAATTGAAGTTACAAATAGTTGTAAGCTGTCATTTGGGTGTTGGGAGCCAAGCCTTTGCAACAGCAGCAAGTGCTCTTGACGAAAGAGCTGTCTCTCCAAACTGCTTTGAGCTTCTTGATGATGTAATAAAGTCAGTGTTAACTGTGTCCCCATGACCCCAAACAGTGCACAGTATCTTAAAGGTATTCAGTGTGTGGTGGTCAGTAAATAATAAATGAACAAATAAGTTTGAAATACAGTAATTAGAGTCTTTTTCTAGCTGGACATAGTAACACATGCTTATAATCCCAGCACTTAGGAAGTGGAGGCAGGAAGATCAGTAGATCGAGGCCAGCCTCTGCTACATGTGGAGTTTTCAAGACCAACCTGGGTACAGTAAGACCCGATCTCAAAATGAAAAAAAGAAGTGGCAACACGATTTGGGGTTTGAATTGGAGAGGGTTAAGAATTACTACTAAGAGTCTTAAATTTTCATAAGTATAAAACAGTGTATCTCCTTCATTGCTGGGCTTAGAGAACCAGAAGTGGAGTTAAAAACCTTAGTGCAGATGTTCTGTGTCCTTAGCTATGCATGTGTTACTAACCATCATACTCCCATTGCTCTTCCTGAGAGCTGTGGAATTCCCTCTTGTGATTGAAATAAAGAGAACCAGATTGTTAATTAGAACCAGGAAAGGGTGTTTTGAACTCCATTTCCTGTTTTCAACAAGTGGTTGAAAGATCACACTTGGCAAAGGATCCTTTTTTTTTTTTTTGTTAAGGGATGACATCATTTCCAATACAAATGTATTTATTTAACAATGAATAAGTCATTTTTTCTCAGCTCATTGTGTTACATCTGGAAGCTTTAAAACTTTAAGTTCAAACTAAAATATTAAAATAAGATGTCAAGTATATCCTCTTAGATTGTGCATAACTTTAATGACTTATGACATTTGATGATAACCAGTGTCCTGAAGAATGCTAGGCCTTTGGCTCGTGTATTAGGCTTTGCTACAGAGCTCCCTATAGATAGTTGCCTGCATGACACCCCTGCAAAGTAGTCAGTGCACCTTCAGCTGAGCTATCATTTCTAGCTCGTCTTTCTGATATTTGCAATTAGTAGAGAAGCCATATCCTGAATCATGAGAGCCACATTTGAGGCTGTTTTTCTCCTGTGCATTTTCCACTTTGGTGACTTGTTCAGGTACAGCAGCTCTCAAAAATGGAAGTGGAGGACTTACTCCGGAAAGGTGCTTATGGGGCTTTAATGGATGAGGAAGATGAAGGCTCCAAGTTCTGTGAAGAAGACATAGACCAGATTCTGCAAAGAAGAACCCATACCATCACTATCCAGTCGGAGGGGAAAGGGTCCACTTTCGCCAAGGTACATGACCTCATCTGGATGAAGGGGAAGGGATCACTGTTTATTCTTTCAACTCATCAGTGAGGCTTCTGTTCCTCCAAATGCAATCTCTTGATGATGTAGACACTTAGAGGAAGACACAGACTGTTAGAAAGAGGAGCTAGTGGCCACAGGCAGGTAGATACTAGTCTATACTTCATTGGGTCTACTCTTTACAAGATCTGCTCCACAACCCTTGAGTGGACATCCTGATGTTTTTGTAAAGTTTTCTTTGAACACTGTTGGAGAGTGGACCTCAGCTGTTTCTTCCAGTCCTCAAATTCAAGCAGGTGTTTTTCACTTCACAGAAATAGGAATTTTTAAAAGATACTCAGCTTCACACCCCAGGTCCACCTTCTTCTGTTGTTCAGATCACTGGGTTTTAGAACTCTGCAGATTATTCTTAAGTTGCTCCAACTGCAGGTTCTGTTAATTCCCATAAGATCTTTATCACCTGTCAAGCCTTGTTCAGGAGAACGTTTTGTGCACAGTATGGGAAGTATAGGTAATCTACATCTCATTCAACACCTCTTACTAACCCAGTACCATTCTTTTGACGTGTATGTGATGTGCGTGCATGTTCAAAGTGTGTCCATGTGTCAGCCAGTGCACTCCAGAACTTGATGTTGGATGTCTACCTTGATCATTCTCCACTTTATTTATATTGAGGTCGTGTCTCTCCCTAAACTTGGAACTCGATGAGTCCAGATTCTGTTATCTTGCCCTGAGAATGACCTGTCTTTTCCTCTCAAATGCTGGGATAAGAGATGGCTGCCACACCTGCCCAGCTTTTACATGCTGGTGTGGACTCCAGTCTCCAAACTTGGAGAGCAATCACTTTACCCACTGAGCCTCTACCCAGCTTCAGGACCTCTTTGGGTTTTTGTTTCTGTTTTGTGTTTGGGATTTTTGAGACGTAGTTTCTGTATAGCCCTTGCTGGTCTAGAACTTGTTATGTAGACTAAGCTGGTCTTGAAAGGTATGCACTACTGTGCCTTAACCCCACCACCACACACACACACACACCAGTGCCATTTTTAAAGCAGATACTTACTATAAAACTGAAAGTTAAGAAAAATCTGATCTTTTCAAACCTCTTGGCTGGAAATTTAACCCAGTTGGTAGAGTACTTTCCTGACATGCATGAAGCCCTGGGTTCGGTTTCTGGCATCACATAAAACTGAGCATGGTAGGTCTGCAATCCACCACTTGGGGTAGGGGAGATAAGAAGCAGAGGATAAGAAGTTCGAAGTCATTCTTAGCTATATAATGAGTTCAAAGTCAACCTGAGGGTGCACGAGGTTCTATCACAGAAGGAAGAAGGGGAAGAGGAAGGGGGAGAAAGAAAGAAGATGACTTGTTAGTCAGGCATTATGGTGCATGACTGTCATCCCAGTATTTGGAAGGCTAAGGATCACATGTTGTAAGCTAGCCTGGACTACATAGTAAGATCCTGTATTTAAATATATGTTTGCATATATATAATGTATATGTTTTAAGTGTGTACTTGGTTATATTTTTTTATCAAAATATGAGCAAATAAATATTACTCTTATAGACAACTAGACACCAGGTAATATATTGCTATTGTCTAAAGAGGTTGTCTTTTTACTTTGAAGTTTTTAAGTTTCAGGAAAATGAGCCTGTAGATTGAAATTTTTATTTCCTTACTAGGTTTTTAAAAGGAGGAGAAAAATGAATCATTTTGAGATTATGGAATTGCTGTTGGGGTTTTTAGTTCTGACATTGGGTGGCTTTTGTATTTCTGGTGCATTTGAGATTTTATTTGTATTCTGTTTAAACCCAGTTTGTTAATTTTTGTCTCCTTCACAGGCTAGTTTTGTGGCTTCAGGAAACAGAACAGATATTTCCTTGGATGATCCTAATTTTTGGCAGAAATGGGCTAAAATAGCCGAATTAGACACTGAAGCAAATAATGAAAAGGTAGAGCTTATCTGTTTCACCTGGGTGGATTGCATGGGCCCGTGCCTACATGGCACAGGTCATTCTTTACTCCTGAGTCTTGATTCTTACGTGAAATGCTGTTGTAACACACTTAGAAAATGGTGACACACAGACAGCCCTGAGTCAGCGTTAACTGACTAGTGGAGTACACCATCTGCTGAGCCCCCAGTTCGAGATGCAGCTTGTAAGTCGGTCAGTCCCAGGTCTGGAAGGTTGATCAATATGTCTCTAAAAGCAACCTCACCTCTCAACAATCAAAAGGAAGAAGGAAAGAAAATACCTACTTGTTTTACCTCCTTTTTTTTTTTTTTTTTCAGTGTCTCAGGTTTTTCCATTCTGTAAATGAGAGAGGCATGGGCATCAGAATAGAACTAGAGAGTGCCTTTGTGCAACACCCTTGACCTTACCCAGACAGTGGGAAAGGAAATGTTGAAGCCCAGGGCAGAGTCAGGTGACTGGCACTGGTGCCTGACCAGCCGTGAGATACCCATAAAATGCTGGCTGATGAGTACATAGCCTTTCTTTCTGTCTTCTTCAAGTGTAGGTTGCCCTCTGTGGCCCACAAATCTCTGAGACATGTAGTAGGAGCTGCAGGCTACGTTCCTGCCCAGATCCCACACAGCTAGCTTAGCCCCGGAAATAATAACACACAAATTGTATTCTTTAAAACACTGCCTGGCCCATAAGCTCTAGCCTCTTAGTGGCTAACTCTCACATCTTGCTTAACCCATTTCTATTAATGTGTGTAGCACCACGAGTTCGTGGCTTACCGGGAAAGATTCTAGCCTACTTCCATCTCGGAGAGGAGAGCTATGGCAACTGCCCTCATTGCCTTCTTCCCAGCATCCTGTTCTGTTTACTCCGCCTACCTAATTTTCTGTCCTATTAAATGGCCAAGGCAGTTTCTTTATTTAACCAATGAAATCAACCTTCTTATAATCTAGCCAAGTCAGTGAGAACCCACATTACTGTTCTGTTGTAGTTAACCATTGGGGTTTGTTTATCCTGGCTTCTTTTCTTCAACTAGAAATGTTGTTTCTCCTCCTTTAAGAAGATTCTGAGCTCTTGAAGTGCCATAAAGAGTCTCTTAATCAAGAAGCAACTGTGTGGGCAGGACATTGATGGGGGAGGACAAGCTCCTACCCTGTAGGCAGCAAAAAGAATGGGAGGAGTCCAGAGTAGGAGCAAGGTCACTGAGGCAGGTGGTGCTAGAGGTTTACTGTCTGGGCTGCATGGAGAAGTGTTGAGGAGTTTGATCTGGCTTTGGGAAGAAGGAATAAGGAACAGAAAATAGACTAGAGAAGAAGCAATTCAGGGGAGCCACTGAAATGAGATTCCTAAACTAGGAATTCTGTCTTTTAGCAAAAGGTTAGTAAATACAACTAAAGGAGGTGGATATGAAAGCAGCAGGATGCGCTGTCTTTAGGAAGTTGCTGAGCAAATGGAATCCTCTTACCGGTCCTGTCTCCAGAACTGAGACTGCCCTTTCCATGCTGGGCAGAACAGCTGGGGCTCCCCTTGCCAGTCTTTCTTGGAACTAGCAGACTGCCACTTTGGGCACTTAGGGGCTTTGCTTGCTAGAATGATGGCATAAACAACAGATGGTTGTGGACAGCACTGGGAAACAAGAAACCAAGGAACTGAAGTTCCTGAGAATCCCCTGTGCTTGTCCTGTCTGTTATCATAGAGACAGCAGGTGTGCTGCAAAGAGCTTTCCCTGCCAGGGCCTGATGTAGGTGGTCCTTCCTCAAATATGCCCTGAGGAATGGCATTGGGGTGCTGTGCACAGTGGCAAGGAGTAAAGAAAAGAGGGGCCTCCTCAACACAGTCTTCTCCATTTCCAGGAAAGCTTAGTGATTGACCGGCCACGTGTGAGGAAGCAGACCAAGCACTACAACTCATTTGAAGAGGATGAGCTTATGGAGTTCTCAGAGCTAGACAGTGACTCAGATGAAAGGCCCACACGATCCAGGCGCCTCAATGACAAAGCCAGGCGCTACCTCCGTGCTGAGTGCTTCCGGGTAGAGAAGAACCTGCTCATCTTTGGGTAGGAACTGGCTCTGCTTAGTGGGAAGGGGTTACCATTATTTTCCCACTTTTTTTTTTTAAGTCTTTAAGATTTGTGCAGTGAACTTGTAGCTCCCTCTGGGTACTAGCTGATGAGATCTGCAGCAGTAAGAGAAAGCTGTGCTTTGTATCAAAATTCCCCTCATCACTGTGCTATGTTGCTGTAATATAGACATACTGGATCTTCTCAAATACATGTCACTGAAAATGTACCAGTTTGCTGCCTGGTACTGATTTCCTCTTCCACCCAAGAATATATTATAAGGAATCAGTACAAAAATGTTGCGCTTAAAAAAAAAATGTGCTTAAGGCATGGTTATGCAGTGGTTACTACAGCTGCACTTTTTCAATTCCAAACTTATTCTCTGCCCCCAGTAATTTGGACCATCACTACTTAACAATCCAGCAGCCATATGATCCAGCATGTAGGACACCTTAGAGACAAGTAGGGCATGCAGTCAAAGTCACAGACCTTTCAGGACTAAGCTTTTAGGGTAACTAATACACTATAAGAAGATGAGAAACCTCTTGTCTTTCTAATTTCTGCTCTGTGGAGGGTGTGTCTGGCTCTTCCTCAAACACTTTCTGTATTCTTACATCAGCTGGGGCCGGTGGAAGGACATCCTGACTCATGGGCGATTTAAGTGGCACCTGAATGAGAAAGACATGGAAATGATTTGCCGGGCCCTGTTGGTGTACTGTGTCAAGCATTATAAAGGAGATGAAAAGATCAAGAGTTTTATTTGGGAGCTAATCACACCTTCCAAAGACGGACAAGCTCAGACCCTCCAGAACCACTCAGGTAAGTGGTAAAATAGGTCCGCTGTGAGTTCTCCTCTGGGGTCACTGTTGCCTGTGTTCTGTTATAAGGGCAGGTGAGTGCTCTTGCCATTTCCTACATGTGGTCTTGCTCGCTTACCTGAGTCCATTGGAGTCCCCTGAACTGAGGACTCAGACCTCGTGTTCTGTGGCTGTCTTTTTCATTTCATCATTCTGTCCGTGTCACTTCTGGCATGACTTGTCTTATGTTGTGCTTCTTTTTCCTTAACCAAAGCTTCCCTTCAAGTCTCCTCCTTCTTAGTAGACCCCAGGAGCCCAAAAGGGACAGGCTGTGTTGTTCCTCCCTGAGTCTCACAAGTCATTTATTAAATCTTGCTGACCACCTTGCTTTCTGGGGACTTGAGGAGTCTGTCACCAGGGGCCCACCATGCTTTTTCTATACCTGGCCCAGATTTAATGCCCATATTAAAGCCCTTTTGGCTCATCCTGTGTCATTATCTCTCCATTTCAGGGTTGTCTGCCCCTGTCCCCAGAGGGAGGAAAGGAAAAAAGACAAAAAACCAGCTCTTGCTCCCAGAACTGAAGAATGCAGAATGGCTAGCCACCTGCAACCCTGAGGTGGTCTTACATGATGATGGATACAAGAAACACCTCAAACAGCACTGCAACAAGTGAGTTAGCCTCGCTCAAACAGCCCAGATTTCTGACTTCACACCCCAAGGTCTGGAGAAAGGAGAGGGGATTGGGGGTATAAACTGTCTGCATTCTTTATGCCCCTTCCCTACTCCTTCAGCAGTCTTCTCTCCTACAATATATTCAGTACCCAGAGACTTCTAAGCCAACTTTTGAGAACCAGTCAGGACATCCTCTCTCTGCTTCTGAGCTGGGCCACAGTGCCATTTTCTACTCAGATCTAATAGAATTATGTTTTATTTCGAAGCCTCTAAGTTGCATTCTTTTGAATCGATCACACTCATGCACATAAAAATCCTCTGTCAAAAATAGGTTTTCCTCCCATCTCTAGATCCCCCATTTGCTTTCCAGAGACAGTCTATTAGCCTGTTTCTTCAGAAAACTATAATACCAGCATATATAAATAAATAACCTACTTTTTCTTCCTGAAAATGGTCGGTATTGTCCATAAAATTTGTGGTCCCTCATCACACAAGTTATCTGGAAGTCAGTTCCTCTATGAGTACTGCCATTGTACGTACGTAGGCTTTTCCCTCAGTGGCTAACCTTTACTCTTGACTGGTATTACGAATGAACTGCAAGTGTTCCCTCCAGACCTCTTTGCTGCTTAGCTTAAGTATGAAGCGTTTCTTTAGCAGTGGTGTTCTCCATTGCACCTCCCCATATTTCCATCCTGTGTTTGTGCATATTTAGCCTGGGCCTCAGCTGTCAGTTTCTCTGTTCTGACTCTTTGTGGTTGGTCTCATTTCACAGTGGACTTCTAGGTGCCTCTAGAGCATGATTGAATTGTTTACTTTGCTATATTCTTTACAACATATAGCATGGTACAGGATAGTGGCAGTTGACAAACATATACTTAATTGATTCGTCTTAAACACAATTGGTAAATTGCCGTGGAGCCTAAGAGTGCAGAATCAAAGTGAATGTGACCTCAGGAAAAGACGTACTGCCGTGAAAAACAATTGCCCTTTAAGTATCTAACTGTGTATGTGTAAAACTGCCTGAAAGTAACACTATTCAAACAGATTTACTCTTTTGTAACTAGTATACTTGGTAACTGGCCTCTTGGAATCCAGCTACCCCTGTGGTCCTTGTGGCCACATGAAAAGATTGGGTTAAGGGAGGTATTATTGATTGTCTCTGCCCTGACTTATGGCTAACAGGATGGTCTAGCAAGAAACTGGGAAAGCGTTTGTTTTCTTGGATGGTGAAGGGGTGATACTAGTAATATCTGGCGTTGATAACTGGTGTCTTATTCTGGTATATTCTGATATACCCCTTCCTGCTACTCAAGAATGCTTATTAATTTCTCTGTCTTAATTAGGTAATGTGTTCTGAATCTTAGGTTCCAGAATATTGTATTAATGTGTTCATCTTTCATAGGGTGCTTCTGAGAGTCCGAATGCTATACTTCCTAAAAGCTGAAATACTGGGAGAAGCAGCTGATAAAGCATTTGAGGGAACTCCTGCCAGGTAATACATCATCCAGAGTTAAATAATCTATGTAAATTACCTGCTCATAGACTGGCCAGATCCAGCCTGTTGTTTCAAGAGACCCATGTTTCTAGCCTGCCCAAGACAGCTACTGGATAGTAAACAGGGAGATAGAGAAGAAAGGCCTCCACTTTGTTCGCAGTCTGTCACTGGTCCTGTTTAGGTTAATGTATAAACTATACTCATCCCAAAATGGCACTGTGTTGGGAGAGGGAGTTGGGCCTGTCAAGGGATATCAGTCACAATAAGAATCTTAATGACAGTTGTTAATTCTACTGAGAAACCATCCCAAGCAGTGGGAAGAGGAGGGAGGAACTATACAAGTAGATATTCCTCCATCCAAGCCCTGAAAATGAAGGCAGGGAGCTCAGGTCCATGTGTTTCTCAGAACATGGACCAAAACCCACAGGGGCTGATGGTAGAAGGCTCGCCAGTCCTGGCTCGTTCACCAATCCTGATGTGTGCATCTGAGCATTATGCTCACTCTTTTGGCCAGAAAAATGCAATGTATGATTGGTTTTGACCTAACGGACCACTTAGTTTTTGAAAGGCCCTCTTTATACCTCAGACTATACCAATGTGAATGCTGAGGTAAGATGGTGTAGATAATATTAAGGATTCAGTCATTTGGGAGAAATGTTGCCTTTTCATGATCAAAACATCCAAGACTTTTGCGTTGGTTCTTAATTAAAGGGACAGACCAGAACTGCTTTACACACACAGTCCAGAGCCAGCTGACAGTAGATTCTCCTCCAGTCTCAAGTGGAGTTTGAGAACCTAGTACCTATGCTTAACCACCTTTGTGAACTACAGCCTTCTAGATTGTCTTATTGTTACTTAGACATTCAGTCAGGAATGTGGTTTCATACCAGGGTTGATTCAGTAGCTTTTGTGTTGTGTCTGGCTGCAAAGAACACTGAAACCACACCCTTCTTTCCACAGGGAACTGGATGTGCCTCTGCCTGACATTGACTACGTGGAGATCCCAGTGGATTGGTGGGATGCTGAGGCTGATAAGTCCCTTCTCATTGGCGTGTTCAAGCACGGTGTGTTTTAGAAAATTCCAGATAAATGACCCAAAAAACTGATTCAAGCAGGCTGTACATATTTCTGCAAACTCCCAACAATCCCGCTATCTAATTCTCAGAAAGCTGAACCTCACAGCTGTCCATCTACCTGGAGTCTTGACCCAATGAATGTGTGACTGACTCATAACAGTACTGTGAATATATTACTGAGAAACTTCCAAAGGGTAACTCTAGTCACAAAGAAGTTACTTGATTTTATCCTTTTCCCTTGGCTGTTTGTACTTAAGGTGGAACTGCATCCATCTCTTCCATTCATTTAGGGGTAGGTGCAGTTATGCACACTTGTGCACATGTCAGAGCCACAGGAGGTTGTTGGCCGTCTTCTCTGTCACTCTACACCTATTCTCTTGAGACAGTTACTCTCACCAGACCTTTTATACCTAGTCTAGATGATAGCCAGCAAGCCCTAGGGACCTTCCTTCCTCCCCTCCACCCCAGCACTGAGGTTATGGGCACACAAATATATAGCCATGGATGTCAGGGTTCTGATGCATTTCCTCATGCCCTTACAACTAGCACTCTTTCCAACAACGGTGTTAGTTACTTTCCTATTGCTCTGGTAGATTCCCTGACAGAAGTAGCTTGGGAGAAAGGCTCGTAGTTTGAGGAAATATAGTCCATCGTGGTAGGTCACGACAGCAGGAATATGAGGCTGGACTGGCAGTCAGGAAGCAGAGCCATCACATTCCATCCATACACCAGAAATAGAAACAGAGAACAGGAAGTAGAGAGCTAGGCTATAAAACTTCAAAGCCCACTCTTAATGACATACTTCCTCCAGCAAGGCTCTGCCTCCTAAAGGTTGTATAAACCTCAAACAGTGCCGTGAGCTGGAGACCCAAGTGTTCAAACATGTGAGCTATGGAGGGCATTTCCTATTCAAATCACAGCACCAACTGAGCCATCTCCCTAGACCTCGCTCATTTGTTCCTAGTGATCCTTGTAGGATCCACATAGTAAGTACCCCTGTTACTTGAGAGAGGAATTAGGGAGTGAAAGCAAGTGTTAGGTTTTAGATCATTTTTGTGTGGAATTCTAAGAAGATTTAAAGAACTCGAAATTCTTAGTTTGTAACTTTACCATCTCAGTGTAAAGATGTTCTGGGCAATCTTTAATTCTTTTCATTAACCAAGAAGTTAAAGAGAACTAGCATGTTTTAATAGCTTGGGGAAATGGAAACAAGTGCCTATCCTCCATTGGTAAAGCATTACCTTAAGAGGCTGCTATTATTTTCTGTTGACTGGCAGTTGTTACAGACAGTTCATTTTCCCCAGATCATGTACCACGAAGTGTGCACACCTTTCTCCATGCTTTGGTTGGGTGTGTAGTATAGTGCTGGAATTTTTCATCTCCTAAAGTTTTTGTGGGTATGTCTCCAGACAGCCTGCTATGTTATGTAGCCATATTTTAGGTGAGAAATTTCTGTCTTGGAGCCATCTGTAGTAGAATAGGCTGAGTCTTCAGTGGGAACTCTAGCCTGCAGCCAGAACACCCTGTCATAAGCCTAGTCTGCATAATGTTCCCGATAGTTCTCACATGCACTAAATAATAACTGCCCCTTTGGGACAGCCTGGGTACATGAAATATTGTAGCTCCCAGTTGGGAGGTCTCTTAAGCTAGCATTAATCCTAAATAATTGCTTAAAATTGTTTAAAGCATTGGTAAGTTTGTTTTGTCTTAGTTTTCACTGAATAAAAGAGACGGAATGAATGTCTAGGCCAGAGCAGGTCTGGTGGGTTCTGCCCTGACTTCTCGCACTTGTCATTGCCCGCTCAGGTTATGAGAGGTACAATGCCATGCGGGCTGACCCAGCACTCTGCTTCCTAGAGAAAGTCGGGATGCCAGATGAGAAGTCCCTGTCTGCAGAACAGGGTGTCACAGATGGAACCCCAGACATTCCTGAAAGGTGAGAAGCCACATAGGCCCTCTCTGATGTCACATTGCCTTGTCACCAACTTGTGTTCCATTCCACATCCATCCAGGGCTCTGTATCTTTATGTAGTAGTTACTTTTCTGTTGCTATGATGAGATAATGACCAAGAGCATTGCAGAATAAAACATTTATTCTGTCTTAATATTCCACAAAGAGAGTTCATATGGAGGGGAAGACACATGGCAGCAGGAGTGGATGATCACATTTCATGGGTACAGAAAGTGGAGCCAGGCTTTAAACCCTCAAAACCTAGCCCCATTTGTATATTTCTCCACAGCATGGTTCTACCTCTTAAAGTTTCATAAGCTTCCCAACTAGGAACCGGGTGTGCAGAGACCTGAGCTTATATGGTATATTGATCATTCAAACCACCACACATTTCCCTCAATGTCTGACATCTCTCTTAAGCCTTGTTGTACTGTGACCATGCCCTTCAAAACTGCTTCTTTCAGTTCATCCTACTCTACCGTATACTTGTGCTTTGGACCAAATTCCATTTCCTGTCCTTCATGGATTTCCCTGGCTGATGATCCTGCCTGGCTTGTTAACTATTCTTCTCATGTCTAGCCAGAGGGCTTTCAGGGAAGAAAGCTGGCAAAAATCTACACAGACACAGCAAGTATCCTGATCATAAAGTTCCTCAGCTGATTGCTGATATTATCCAAGGATCATATAACTGTGAATAAGTCAGACTCAGCACTTTTTGAAGTTGCAGCCATTCAGTATAGTAAAGAGTTGTATACAAAATATAGAAACATCCTCTTTGGCTGAGTTTTATTTATCGTTGGTATAATCTCCAAACATTTAAGTTCTTAGGAAAATGAAAGTAACAGCTAAAACCTATAGATCTCCAAGATCTGCAGAGGTTTAGAAAGCAGCATTTCTCCTAGATGTGTCCTGTCAGCTTTGTCCACATCTCTCCTCTGCTGAGGATGAGATACTTTGATCCCATGACTATGGGTTAGACCTAGCCGTTAAAGTATGGCACTGCCAGTAGCCCCAGTGAACACTTTAACTGTCTGATGTTCTCTTCCCCAAAGCCATTATCTGTGGACAGGATAATAAAAGCATATTTTGGGAGGTGTTGCCACAGCAGGTCCTGGTGTTAGTTAAATTAACTGGTTCAGCAAAAATACCACCTGGCTGAGGTATCTGTGTATAGCTTTTCTATTTGGTGACTCCAGGGGGCACCTAAGCTAGGAGCAAGGCATCTGACTGCTTTCCAGTTTAAGCATTGAAGAATCATGGAAACAGGCTTCAGAGTAGTTACACTCACAGGAGACATAACATAGCTGATGGAGTCACAAGTGCAATACCAGAGAGGACAACCTGCCCTTCCATCTCAACAGCAGAGAGAGTTGTCTTCCCAGAAAGTGGCTTTAGGAGTGGTTACTCCAGTGTGCTTAAGGGTGTGCACTTTTGTCAGTTTGGACTAGAATCTGTTCTCTTTCTCAGAGCTGTATGTGCAAACAGCTCTTTTTGTTTGTTTGTTTGTTTGTTTTTTGTTGTTGTTTTTGAGATGGGGTTTCTCTGTAGCTTTGGAGCCTGTCCTGGAACTAGCTCTTGTAGACCAGTCTGGCCTTGAACTCACAGAGATCCGCCTGCGTCTGCCTCCCGAGTGCTGGGATTAAAGGCATGCGCCACCACTGCCCAGCAGCAGACAGCTCTTGATGGGCTGTAATCACCGTTTCAGTGACAGTATCATTGTCGAACAGTCAGCCTCAGAGTGAGCCTGGTAGGCTTCACCCTCATGGAAGGTCTTAGTCGAGTTGAAGTCCTTGCTCACCCACATGATAAAATTCTTTGGTAGTAGTTTCTCTCGTTCTCAGTGTCTCTAAGGTTCTCTGAAAAGAAAGGGAAAATCTTAAGATTTTGAGTGCCTATAAGAAAGATACCTACTAACCTTCCCTTTAGTGGTGATTTGGAGGGCTTTCTTACAAGCATCCTGGTAGTAACATAAATCCTAAGTGGTATATAATTACTTTTATTTAGAGGCAACATAGATAAAGAAGAGAGTGCTGAGGACAAGTTAGATGGTCTCCAGAAGCAAACGGTGAGTCAGATTTGCTGTCCTGGTACTGCATGCTCTTTCGTGCTGAGAGAGTAGCTCATGGTGTGGGGAGTTGGAGTGCACCGCTGCACTTGCCTTGTGTCACCCAGGGGCTATGACAGAGATTCCAGCCACACAGTGGACTAAATTTGTATTCTGAAGTCTTTTCCAGATAAGTGTAAACTTAAGATACAGTTGTAAAATGTAGTACAGAGAAACCTATGTCCCCTGTATCCAGTGTCCCCCATAGTAATACCTTGTAAGATTGTGCTTATTATAATATTCAGGATGGTGACGTTGATCATTCAAAGTAAAGGACATTCCTGTCACTACAAAAGTCTTGGCACCATCTCATAATCATTTGTCTTCCCTTTCCACCACTCTTCAGTCCCTGGCAATCATTAATGAGCTTTTCATAACTTCGTCATTTTAAAGAGGTTCTATAATTGGAATCATACAGTATGAACCTTTAGCAGTTAGCTTTTTTCACTTGTCATAATCTGAAATGTAGTTATTGTCTGTTAAACCATAGTTTTTTTTTTTTTTCTTTTTTGGTTAGGGACAGGGGTGATAGCTAAATGTCATTCCATAGCATGGATATGGCACTGTTTATATAATGTACATTTATTTAAGAAACTGCCACATTTTTTTTCAGAGTAGCTGTATCATCTTTGCCCCTACTGGCAGCAAATAAGTGACCTGCTTTTTACACACCCTGCGTTTGATATTGGTGTATTTTTATGGGTGCATTCTGATGCTTGTGTAGTAGTGCCCTTGTACATCATTTCCCTAACGGCTAGTGATGCTCACTGCTTCTTGTGCTTTGCTCAGTAAATGTTCTACTTTCATCGCTCTGTTTTAGAGATCGTGTAAATTCCAGATACTAGTCTTTTTCAGATAGGTAGCTTTGTCATTTTACCCTTTCTATGTTGTCTTTAACATGGCAAGAATTTTTAATTTGAGGAAATTAATTTCTCACTTTTACTTTTGTGGGTTGTGTTTATGGGACCAGGTGTAAGAGCTCTTGCTGCAGCCTAGAAAGTCTCTGCCCTCCCCTCCCCTACATTTTATAGTTTTACATAAATGTCTGTGATCCATTTTAGGTTAATTGTAATTTAAATGATGAAAATTAGATCAGGTTTTTCTTTAACCTGGTCACGTCCCATTATTCCATAAGTGTTTAAAATACTTTTTCTCTCTATCAAATTACTTTTGCACCTTTGGGGGAAAAAAAGACAGTTGGACATGTTTGTGAGGTTCCATTTCAAAGTTCTGGATTCTGTCCTGTGATCTCTTTTTCTCTTCCTCTGCCATATACATACATGCGTGGAAAGCACGCATGGATGGGTGTGTGTGTGTTTTGAAACAGGGTTTCTCTGATTAAAGGCATGTACCACCACAGTCCAGCATAAGTAAATATTTTTAATTCTAATTTTAAAAAAGAGTTACACTGCTTGTAGATTATCTTAAAGATCTCTACATCAAAAATGAAGGGTATTTCCATAATCCTAGTTCTTGAGTTTTTATCATAAACAGATGTTGAATTTTGTCATACACTATTTTTCCTGATAATATTTGGTGGTTTTTTTTTTTATTTCCTATCAGGAAGGAGAATTACTATGATTAGTTAAAATATTAAACCAATCTTACAGCACTAGCATGAGCTCTGCTTGATCAAGTATATAATTTATGTATTGCAGAATACTTCTATTTGATAATGTTTTTCCTTTCTTTTCATTTAGTGTGTGTGTCTGTGTGTGTCCCTGTCCGTCCACATATGTTTTTCATATGTGGAGGGGGTGTGTATGTATGTGAGGCTGAGGTTGATGTCCAGGATCATTCTTTTGGTTTTTTGAGACAGGGTTTCTCTGTGTACAGCTAGCTGTCCTGGAACTCACTCTGTAGTCCAGGCTGGACTCAAACTCAAAGATGTGTTTGCCTGTGCCTCCTGAGTTCTGGGGTTAAAAGCATGTGTTACCACTACTCAGCCAGAATCCTTATCAATTGTTCTTCTACCATATTCAGTAGGTTAGGGTCTCTTCAGTCAAAATCAGACCTCACCAGTACGGCTAATCTCACTAGTCAGTTTGCTCTAGGGATCCCCTCTTTTGAAGCTAGAATTATAGGCAGCCACATACAACCTGTAGTCTTCACACTGAATACAATTTTATTGGCATACTGTCAGGTATTACAGCCCATTCTTACTGAAGCATCCATATGTGCTCTAAAAGTACATGTTGATTTTGTAGCCTGATTGGTATTTGTATTTTGTTACATAGGTAACACCACGGTCACTGGTTCCATGTTTTTCCAACTCAAGTGAAGTATAAAGATCTCATTTTGTCCCTTTACCCTCTTTTATTTATTATAATTGGGTTAGGCTGCTTATAAAGGTCAGAGGACAGCTTGTAGGAATCAGTTCTCTCCAACCCATGGGCCCCAAGGAGCCCACCCTCCTATGTAGTGTCCTAAGCATTTCTTCTGTGCACTGTCGGCCATATCCAACCCTGTGAAGTGGAGGAGTTAATGCCGTCCCATGTTCTGGTGCTTTCTTCCCGTTACTGGATGGAGTGTTTCATCTGTTTTCTGTTCAGAGAAATTCTTCTAGTCATTCTTCAGGGTCAGACTGAAGATTTTCCTCGTAAGTTTTTCTTACCTAAGGTTCTTTTCCTTCAGCTCTAAAAATACTGTGCATCTTTGATTTGACCTTCATGCTTTTAGGGAGAAATCGGGCAGTTTACTTGTTTTTCCCTTCTAGGTAAAAGTATCCTTTGTCTCACACACCTCCCCCCTTTAGGTTTTTTATTCTTGTTGTTGTTTTGGTTTGGTTTTGGTTTTTCAGAAATTTAACTACATGATTTGGAAAGGATTTGAGTTTTATCATGTTTAGAGTTGACTCACGTTCTTGAATCTATAGTATTGTCTTTTGCTAAATTGGGAGCGTTTTTCTTCAAGTATGTTTCTGCTCTCCCTAATTCTTCTCCCTTTTCAAGACACAGGTGAAATGAGTGTTGGTTACAGTCCCAGAGACCTGATTACTGTAATCTGTTTCTTTGCTCACGGAGCTTTTCCATACTCTGACTTTAATTCTACAGATTATTTGTCTCTTCTGGTCTGCTGTTGAGGATTTCTTCTTTCTGAGTGTTTTGTTTTGTTTTCTCATTTGTTGTACTTTTCAGATTTAAAATTGCCCTTTGGTCCTTCTTTACTTTGTTTCTCTGATAAAACTTGGTTTGATATATATGTTTAGAATTGCTTAATCTTGGTTTTTTAATTTTTGTGTCAGATATGTAAACCACTGTTAACTTGATATTGACATTTATTTTCTTTTTCTCTAAGTTTGAGATCTTCCTGATGTTTGGTATGCATTTTTAAGGGAATTCTGAAGATTTCAGGGTATTACATGGGGAGACTGTATATCTTATTTCAACCTTGTTGTAACCGACTTCCTCTGACACTAGCAAAGAATCAGGAATTAAGGTTCACCTGGTTTCTCTGAGATGGAAGCTGACCTCCACATTCTGGGTCTGCTCCCATTGATACTGTTGGCCGAGAATGTCCTTGGTACCATGGGCACAGAAGTAGTGTTTTCCCATTGGTCCTTGTTAATGCTATGGATAAGGGTGAGAGTCCTCATTGCTGCATATCAGGGATGAAACTTGGAAACTTCTTAGCTTTTTCTGGCACCATCCACCAGGCAAATGAAGCAACCTATAGCACCTGAAGAAGGTGGACGTCTAGGCCCTTCACGTGAGCTTTACTGGCATAGATTGGGTGAGCCACTTTTTCTGTGTTGTTGGGGTGGACATAACAGTTACTGTCCTAACATTTCTGTGCTCCAAGCTTGCTCTTTTCTTGATCTTTTACTAGAGAGAAAAAGGTTTTGTTGGTTTTTTTCTGTTTGATTTTTTTTTTCTATACCCTACATCACTTTTAGATAGTTGTCTTCCTTACCAGATCTAGGATTTATAAAGGAAGCCCAGGAAACTGAGCACCATGTTGTTCCTGTTTTACTCAGCTTTCTTTCTTTCACAGTTTTCTGTGTTTGTTTTACAGGGTGTTCAGGAGTTTCAATTGTGCTTACAGGCGGTGAATAGGTACATGTGCATGCCCCAGGGGCACATGGCTTTCTTACATTCTAAATTAGTGTGTGTGTGAGTGTGTGTGTGTGTGTGTGTGTGTGTGTGTGTGTGTGTGTGTGTGTGTGTGTGTGTAAAATGCCATATGGGCCCCAGCACTATTTGAGCATACGCTCTCTGAGCAATAGAGCAAATATGTCCATGAATGCCATGGACACTGGTATCGGAAGTTTTTATGGCACTGTCTTCAGGTGATTCTATTGCTAGAGTCACCACTCTAGTACACAGTTACAGTTATTTCTCTTCTCTTTATTAGTTGCACACATTCCCTATCAGCTTTTTGAGTCATCTACTTGTAGTAATAACACCACTTTCCCAAGTGGGAAATAAACTTTTCAAAGACTTGTCTTCTGTGCCACACAGACTTAAGACACAGTCAACTAAAGTAAGTCAGGATGGTGCCTTACGCTGTTGGACTGAAGGGATCTGGGGCTCTGCTCTAAACAGTTAAAAAAAAATGCGCTCTGGCTCTGGGTCCAGTTCCTAACTTTCATCAGTAAGTATTTTGTTTGAGATTTAAAATGTGTAAGCCCATAGAAACCATTTGAGCACCAAAAAAAAGGAAAGCAATACTTAATACAGAATGTCCCTCAGTCTAAAGTACATTTCCCCTACCTCAGCAGTATAAAAGAAGCACATTGCATATTTTTATCCTTATTTGACAACTGAGAAAAAAGATTTTGACCTCTAAGTTAAATGCCTGCCAAATTCTAGTAGCTAGTAGTTGAGAATTTTTATAACCAGAAGAGAAGTATTACAGATGCGTATATTGAGCCCCTCCTCTCAGCAACAGTAGTTCATATTTTCATGAAAGACAGCTGCCAGCCAACTGCAGCCTGGCCTAGCTCTGAACACTGTCCACAG